TAACCACCTCATCTTTTTTTCTGCTTAGTTTAAGAGTTGAAAATAATGAGTAAAAGTCATGGCTTAAAAAATATAATTCCCTAATGTGACTTGGGATTAACCAGCAAGGACAGCTCAATGTCTCCTAATTTGGGGCAGTAAAGCTGCAGTCATTTCATTGAAGGGGTGGAAATTTTAGCGCCTACTTTCAAGAAAGGAAGGATGGGAGTGGGAATGAATACAAGAGAAAGAGGACAGGAAAAGCCTTCCAGTAACCTACAGAATCCAAGCAAAGCAGACTCCAGCTCCCTGGGCACATGAGCCCACCTGCATCCTCCCTCGTTGCTTGTTCAGGGGTTTTGGCTTCTCTACCTTGTGAGATTCTTGAGAACAGTGTCTGTGACTTCTTTGTGACCACAGGCCAGCACAGCACCCAGCATATGGCCATTCTTAACACATGACTATGATGTAATCAGATAGTAGAGATACTAGGCAGGGTCTCCCGCACGCACAGAGGGCAACAGTAGAGCATTGCAATAGCCCAGCTCAATCCTTCTGTCTAGAATCCAGGACGCTGGATCTGAAGGCTAGAGCTGATGTGGTCAGGAATGGAGTAGGACAAGCCGGGAAACCCAGGAGGTGGTGGGACAGGAGCCCTCACCCAAGTCAGTGTTTCATTTCTCTACTGTTGGCAAATATCTAATACTTAAGGGAGACTTGAGCCCTTAGTTATGCAGATGCATCTTTTAGGGGAGGGTACAGGGTACTTACACTTTTGTTGTTTCTCTTTTTCTCCCTAATTGCAGCCTCTCACACACTTGCCCTGCTGTGCTTAGGTACTGGGTTGCTGTTTTTTCAGCTCTCCTAGGGGGTCTTCTGCCCTTATGGACTGAAAACTGCTTTCTCCCTTCTGAGGATGCGATAGTCCCCCCATTTCCCTTCATAAATGTAACACTAAAGCCACGAGTTTGGCTGAAGTTCTTTTGTGTTCTTTACTAAACGCGTTATCTCTGTCTTGCCTGTGAAGGTGGAACTGGTAGTAAATATATAATTACACATTTTCTAGTGTTTTTATCAAATCAGTAACGAAGTTTCTGATTTGGAAGAAAACAGATGTTACTCTTGGCAAGGACTTTCTCTATATAAAGAAGAAGCAAAAAACCTTGTCATTGAGCTAAGGTCTTAGGGTAATGGCAAAATTAACTTTGTAATGTAAAATAGATATAATAGACTTGAAGGATTTTACTCTTTGAAAGTAATAAGAAACAGCAGAAGTAGTAAGCAGATATCAATTAAATAAAAATAAAAATATCAAAGCAGCAATTCAAATATGCTTGGGGCAAAATAAACCCGCTTGCTCCTATCTAGTTATTATAACTAGTAATCCGTGAAAAGAGCTGCATTTCAACAGCCATTCTTGCCAGTTACTCTACTTAACAATATTTATACCTGTGTTTGGAGACAAAGGGTAGATAAAGCACAGAAAGTCTGAGACCAAAATACAGCAATTGAGAGTTGTACCATGCAGAGAAGAAGCAAGTCAAAACTGTTAGGAGGGGCTGCCAGCCGACAGGTCACAGAAAATTGGTGAGATCTCGTTTCAAGATTCCACGAGCCGATTGCAGAGTTAAATTCACTTTTTTCCCCTGAGTTTCTGCTCCGTACTAGGAGTTGGAAACAAATACAACCACAGCCATGGGTGAGATAAACAGAGAAAAGGGTGGGACGCCACGGAGGACTAGGATGGGACAAAGAGACTCAGCAGAAGCGAAATGGAGAGAAGAGGCGAGAGAGAGAGAGAGAGAGAGAGAGAGAGAGAGAGAGAGAAAAGAAAAGAGAATGCGGGTGGGAGGGGTCGGAGGGGGTGGAAGGAAGGAAGATCCGGGCCCCGCTCGGCAGGTGCCTGACAGCTGCACCCCTAGCTTTATTTGAGGGGGAGAGAGTGGAGCCGGCCGGGCTGCACGGGCTCAGGGTCGGGGGCGCAGCTGCAGCCTCCGCTGCCGCCCGACGGCCCCTGCGCTCTCTCCTGCAGGTGTGGTTCCAGAACCGACGGGCTAAGTGGCGGAGGCAGGAGAAGCTGGAAGTGTCCTCCATGAAGCTGCAGGACTCGCCCCTCCTCTCCTTCAGCCGCTCCCCGCCCTCCGCCACGCTGTCGCCCCTTGGGGCGGGCCCGGGCAGCGGAGGCGGGCCGGCGGGGGGCGCGCTGCCGCTGGAGTCCTGGCTCGGGCCGCCGCTGCCGGGCGGGGGCGCCACCGCGCTGCAGAGCCTGCCGGGCTTCGGGCCGCCGGCGCAGAGCCTGCCCGCCAGCTACACGCCGCCGCCGCCGCCCTTCCTCAACTCCCCGCCGCTGGGCCCCGGCCTGCAGCCTCTCGCGCCGCCGCCGCCCTCCTACCCATGCGGGCCGGGCTTCGGGGACAAGTTCCCGCTGGACGAAGCGGACCCGCGCAACAGCAGCATCGCGGCGCTGCGTCTGAAAGCCAAGGAGCACATCCAGGCCATCGGGAAGCCGTGGCAGGCCCTGTAGGGGCACTGGGGACCGTCTAGGGAGCCGACCCCGGGCCGAGCTCACCGTACCCGCATCTTCTCTCCCAGGGACACCCCACTCGGCCACTCTTTCCCCGTCGTCTGCCAGCCAGCAACCCTCCAGGCATAGTTCAGGGCTGGGCGCCTGCTCCCGACGCACGTGGAGAAGGGTGACTTTCAGGCCAGAGGAAAGGTCCTCTGGCCGCCTCCACACATTTCGCGGACCTCAGCCCTGGAGGGCAAGAGGCTGCCGGGCCACGCCGGCCACGCCGCTCCCATCCCCACCGGTCCTGGAGCCCCCAGGCCCAAAGGGCTGAAGCTCCTAAACTTGGCATTCCCAGGAGGCTTGGAGACCCCCAGATAACCATAACAGGGAAGAAGGGGAGGTGGAAAAATAGTTTGAGGAACTTTTGTATAAGTAGTTTCCAAGTATTTGAGAGGAGAATTAAAGACCTGCTTGTTTTGTTTCGAATCTGTTTAAGCACGCCCAGGACTTGGGGTGAGGAGTGAATATGGGGGTATGGGAGGAGGGTGCGCTGATGGGCAGGGTGGGTCAGGGAAAGCGGAGGACTGCGATGAAGCTCAGAGTTCCCTTGTGAAAATTCTGGGGACACTTCGCTGCCGCAGAGAATCGTTCCCATTCGGAAGGCTTCAGGGACCTGGACGCGCGCGAGGCGCCCTTCCCTGGAGCGGGCGGGCGCATGTGGGTCCGGAGTGTATGGAACTAAGGCTCAGCCGCTGGCGCGTTCCTAGTTACCATGCTAGCCCCATAGTCCAGCGGCGGCTGATACTTTGAAGTCTGACTTCAATAGAAAGCGTCAGGACCACCATCCCTAGGGTGAGGGCCCCTGGCGTCCCTGCTCCCCTAAGAGCTCCTCTCAGTTCACCTTGCAGATAGATCTCCGGTTCGGTGCCAGTCCCTGACACCCAGGGTTGATGACTAGCGGTACAAGAACTGAGGCAAAGAGATGCTTTTCCTTTTCGGAGCGGCGAGACTCTATTACTTCCCCAACTCGCCGCACACCAGCAAACCCAGAGTTCGGTAAAAGGTGAGGCTGGTTAGGAGCCGCTCTAGGAGAGCGCCCTGGAGCGCCCTGCTCCACCGCCCCGAGGGTTAATTCGGCTAATTCTTGCAGGCTTGCCCTGGACAGTATCTGCAATTCTTTGGCTCCGGCCCTAGGGCGGGGAAGGAATCCCGAAATCTCAGCCCGCTTCACAAGCTCCTGAGACTCGGGGGAGTCAGGGACTCCCTCCTGAGCGTCCTCGGCATCCACCGTTGACACTGGAGCTGCACCACCTCCAGCAGGTTGCCCGCCAACAGGTCCTCGGCCCCCAGTCCACCCCACAACCCCTGTCCCTAAGCGTGCCTTCCGGATGATGCCGCTAGAGCCTTAATTAGTATCAACTGGCTACTGTCTGTTGGTTCTGAGCAAATTAGTGAAGCTTCCAGTCCCCTTTCCTCGTCTAAATGAACCCTATCTCCCTGGAAGGTGGAAAAGATGAAATAAGATCCCCTGTAAAGGCTTTATGTAAACTACCAAGACCCAGGCATGACGCAATATGCATTGTAATCACGGTTCCCGTTTACCCGAAATATTCCCGGCTGTTCTCCGGTTCCTGAAACCGACTTGGGAAAAGGATGACCACGCCAGGGCTAGGAGTAGGGAACTCTCATCATCCAGTCCTTTCTTTGCGGGTCCTAAGAGGCTATTGTGTAACCAGGGCTGTGTACACCTAGACCTCCAGCTGGTGCCTTGCACGCAGTAGGCTGATCAGCAAAAATTTACTGAATAAATCCTTTTCCCCAAGTGGTAATATCTGCACTTTACCTCACAAGGATGTCTCCCTGGGGTAGATGAATGGAATAGCCCATGTGCTACCACCTCTTAGCAAGAAAAAACCCCACCAGAATGAATGTGTGGTTGGCCTATCGTTTGTTTCACCCTTTCATTCCCTAGGGTTGATTTATTTACAGAACTTCCAACTTCATAGGCTCCAAATGAGTACCACACTTGCTCTGTCCTTCTTCTTACTGCAGTCTTGGGCACCTGTGACCTTGAGCATCCCATCATCAGCCTCTTCACTTCCCTTAGATCATTGCCAAGATTATTCCTTTTGTCCCCTCTGTGCTGTTTTTCAATTATTTCCTTATGAGTTTTTCTGCTACCTCCCCTTCTACTGTTTTCTTATAGTGTTTGGTTTCAGATGAAAATAGATTTTCTTCTAAACCATCATCAAGAGAGTGAGCCATACACGGGTTTCAGAGACAAGCCCTTGGAAAATGATTCAGTAGCTAATGATTATTGAAGGGTGACTATGTGCCAGCACTCTTCTGAGAAGTTTACATCTACTAGGTTAAGTCTCACCACAATCCTACCAGGAAGATACAATTAGCCCCATTTTATAAACGAGGAGGCTGAGGAACAGAGAGGTTGTCCCAGTTTACACTGTTTCTAAGTGTTGGGGCTGAAATAACCAGAAGTGTCCATCATAGTGCGTGTTGGGAAAACATTGGGGATAAGTGCTCCTTATTTCAATTCTAGGACAGCTCATTAGGCCATATTGGGAACTAAGATCCTGAGCAGTGGGCACTAGCTGTGCTTTCAAAGGCCTCCTGAAGAGATCTGCACACAGCATCTGCCCAGGACTCCCCCATCCCCAAGCCCTGCAGGGCAGCTCTGAGGGTGGGAGATTCACGGCCAGCTCAGGAGTGGGGGTGCAGATGGGGCGGGAATCCAGTTCTTAACTCTGGCTGGAGGTGAGCAGCTTGTGATAAAGAGCATTAAAGCCCGGACGACCCTGAAACACTTGGGGCCTCTGCTCAAGCTCATGGCAAGAGAAACCACTTTGCAGAAGCGCCGGCCGATGTTGGGGCACAAGCTTCCAAAACTGGACGGTTGGTTTGTTCTAGGACGGGCATAATAAGCCTTTCAGGGACCCCGAGCGAAGCCTGCATCAATTTCCCGAGAATCACTTTCAGTGGTTCTTGAATCTTCCCTAATGAGGCAGCAGGTTTGGCTCAGGTGATGCCACCAGTGCCCACAGAAGGAAAACAAGAACCACATGGGTCTTAAGAGGTTCCAGAAGAAAAGGCACCGTGCTGCTCCAAGCACAGACCTAGATTGAGGCGAGCGTCGATTGGCTTCGGTCAATTTAAGAGGCCTGGAGATCCTTCTTTCCCAGCCCCGGACGACGTCCCGCCCTAGGAGGAAAGCAAGCAGGTCTGTAGACCGGTATCCTCTTCTGCTCCGGTGAACTGGGTTGCGCGGGGGCCTGGGCGGGACTCCCATACAGCGAGGGCGGGGCGGGGAAGGACGCCGAGGATTGGAGCGCGCCGAGAGAAGGGCGGAGTCAGGCACTGCTCGGGAAGCGGGGCGCTGACCGCCCTTTGAGCCTCAGGGGTTTTCCGCTGACCCCGAGAGCTGGAGACTGCCGGGAGCGGACCTCCTCCGCGACCCAGGCCACCATCAGCCAGCCCTACAGTAGTTTTTGTTTTGTTTTGTCAGAGGCAGGGTCTCGCTCTGACGCCGAGGCTGGAGTGCAGTGGTGCCATCATAGCTCGCTGCAGCCTCGACTTCCTGGGCTCAAGCGATCCTCCCGCCTCGGCCTCCCGAGTAGCTGGGACCACAGGCTCACACCACCATGCCCGGCTAATGTTTTTTGTTTTCTTTTTTCTTTCTTTTGTGTGTGTGTGTGTGTGTGTGTGTGTGTGTGTAGACGGGTGTCTCACTATGTGTACCCACGCTGGCCTCGAACTTCTGACCTTAAGCGACCCTCCCACCTCGAACTCCCAAGCACTGGGATTACAGGCGTGAGCCACCGTGCTGGTTGGAGCATTTTAAGTTTTGCGTTTTTTCCTAGTCTCTGTGCGCAAGGGCGGCCTGTCCATAGTACTCGCCAGGGCTCCGGCTTCCGTTGGCTATGCTCACAGCCCAATTTCTTTCGTGCACGGACGCAGGAGACTGAGGGCTCAGCCTCTCCGAATTGCTCGGGATTGCTCGGCTCCAGAGGCTCGTCGTTAAGAGAGCAGCCGTAGGATCGCGGAGGAGCCCTCGCTCCTTGTCCTGAGGTTCGACTGCGGCCCTGGACGGGTCCAGGCTGTGTATCCCTAGTGGACTTCCTAGTTCTGAAGCCGGTTCTGTCCCCTGCCGGTCCAAGCCCCCACCTGCGCTGCTTAGGAGGGTGATCCGAACTGGTGAGGGTGGGATGGGGTGGAGGGATGGGAAGAGAACCCCCGAGAGGGGTGGGCTTTGGCCAGAGGTCGGCAACTAAACTGGGACCACCCTACTGCATTTATTTATCCTAAATATATAATGTTTGGGGAATGGGAATTGTCAAACTAATGGAGACAATCCCTGCCTGTTCCCAACCCCACCCCAGTTAATTGAGAATCTGGTGAGGGTAAAGAGGGAATGCCAATTCTTCCCTCTCTAGTCCAAATTCACGGGCTACAGAGCCCACGCGCAGGAAGTGGGAGGGCGGGGGCGGCAAGAGAGACCACGACCCCCAACTCAGCTTCCAGAGAGAGCACTCCCCACACGTCGGATCGGCTTACAGTGAGGGCACCCTGGGTGCAGACCCCAGAGGCCTGGAGGCTTTAGTATTTGATGACGTGCCCTCTCCATCATCCACCCCATGCAGTTCAGCCCCTCACCCCAGGCTCCCAGCCCCCACCCCCAGCCTCGCCCAGTCCGCTTCTCCAGCCTCCATTCCAAGAGCACCTTCCCACCAACAGAATTTTATTACATGAATGGAATCCAAGCCTCCAGAAGGCGGACAGAAAAAGACTTTCAGGGAAGATGAAATTAAAAATTAATTTATTAAAAAATACAATTAAAGTAATTAAAAGCTGCACTTCCTCTCTGCTCCGGTGGCCGGAGCTCCGCAGGAGCCCTTAGTGCCTTCTCGCTCTCCTGGGAAAGGCAGACCCCGCAGCGCCAGACGGGCGCACCCGACCCTTGTGGAGGCGGATGGTGCTCTCTGTGAACTTGTCTTCTCTTTTATTGGGGACTAGCTCCAATAATCTGGTCTCCGCTTGTTAACTGTACAATAGTGGGCAGAGTTAATGACTCATTAGTGATTAATGCCTTTACCACGCCTTAATTCCTCGCTGTAAAACTCCTTTGGTAAACTGGATTAAATCATCTAGATCCTTGGCAGGACTCCCCCAGCCCTGGTGGACACGGAGAGACTGCCTGATTCCCCAGCACGCTGAGCCTGATGGCTTTTCAATGGCAGGTGCAGTGGCAGCTCCTCTGCCTGGGAGACAGGAGAGCTGTGGCCCAGTTGTGACTGGGACCTTAAACAGGGTACTGTCAGCAAACCTCACTGGAGCACTAGGTCTCGAAGTTCTCTGCTCCCTCCTTACTTCACCTGAAGGTGAAGGTAGACACCTAAATGTGACAGCTCATTTGAGAAGCGGCTTTCCTCTGCTCTGTGCTTAGTATAAGGGTGTGTGTTCATGTTAGTGGGTTCTAAATGAATTGCATACAAGGATGTCTTCCTGTTCAAAGTTGTCTACAAAATGTTTTCTCCAATCCTAACAGTGGCTGCATTCTGTAATCTCTCCAGGGATCAACATATATTTTAATGTGTGTCTATTTGCATTTCTTTCCCATACCATCTTAATTTCCTGCTGTCTTTATCTAATCTGCAGATTGTTAGAAAGCATGGTGGGCCTAGCCGGCATTACAGCTGAGTGGGTGCCTGTAGTCTCAGCTACTCGGGAGGCTGAGGCAGAATTGCTTGAACAGGGGAGATGGAGGTTGCAGTAAGCCAAGATCGCACCACTCCACCCCAGCCTGGGTGACAGAGCTAGACTCTCTCTCTCTCTCTCTCTCTCTCTCTCTCACACACACACACACACACACACACACACACACACGACCCATGGTGGACCTGTAATGATAAAGTCCCAACACTCAAGCAGCATGGCCTAAGGAGGAGAAATAAGGGCATAACTGCACATAAATTCCCAAATGCCTACTGGTTTTCTCCACCTGAGCATCCCAGAAGCTAACCCAAAATAAATGTGTTCAAATAAAAACTTATTTTTTTGCTCTGTGGGCTCCTAAAATCTCCTTAAAAACCCTTGTTGCTCTTTCAGCACTTATATGCATCCAATGGATATGATGAGAATAGTTCTTTTTTTAGAGTAATTCTTAACCTCCTGAGGCAAGTTGTATCCCAATTTCCTTTCTGCCTTATTTCTCAGCCATATATCTTCCAAAATTTAGCTGATCACTTGGATGTCTTGAATAAAGACATCCCCCTGCCTCCCTTTCTATTAAATTTGATTTCATGGTGAACTACGTGGTCAGGAGTTCGAGACCAGCCTGACCAACATGCTGAAACCCAGTCTCTACTAAAAATACAAAATTAGCTGCGTGTGGAGTCAGGCACCTGTAATCCCAGCTACTCAGGAGGCTAAGGCAGGAGAATTGCTTGAGCCTGGGAGGTGGAGGTTGCAGTGAGCCGAGACTGCACCACTGCACTTCAGCCTGGGTGACAAGAGTGAAATTCCATCTCAAAAAATAAATAAATAAATAAAAATAGTGGCCTATGCTATTAAGAAAAAAACCCTTCTTTTGCCCCTCTCTTGCAGTCTGTTGACTGTGATGCAGGTGCTGGAGTAGCCCCCTTGGCCCATGCCATGAAGCCACACGGTGAGAATGCTGAACAACAGCGTAGAAGAAATCCAGGTTCCTGGCTGGGCACAGTGGCTTGCGCCTGTAATCCCAGCAACTTGGGAGGCCTAGGCAGGCAGATCACTTGAGGTCAGGAGTCCGAGACCAGCCTAGCAGAGATGGTGAAACCCCATCTCTACTAAGAACACAAAAATTAGCCGGGCATGATGGCGGGCACCTGTAATCCCAGCTACTTGGAAAGCTAAGGCAGGAGAATCGCTTGAACCTGGGAGGCAGAGGTTGC